GTCTTTAATGGGTTTGGACGTGAGCCAAAAACGCAACAACTGTCACAACTGAGCCGGGAAACTGGCGACATGAATTTGGGGGGGACCAAAACAAACAACGTCACAAATCAATAAACGATAACAGAAATTAACACACAGTAGTGATGATTCTGTAAATACAGAATGCTGCTTCAAGAGGCGAGACAAAGCTATAAAACAATAGAAATAAAATTCGATAAACTTGATAACAGATCCAGAGGAAACAATAAAATTTAATTTTTACGATGAGTAAGTTCAAAACCCAACGAGAACTCGGAATAAAACAGAGCACTTTGCATATATAAAGAATTATTTGAGAAAAACTTAAAATAGAGAGGGATGCGCTGATAGAGCGTGCACAAAGAGTCGGCAGCTACGAGTACGAGAGTGTCTCTCTCCCAATACCATTGTGGTTATTAAATTCTTCAACTTTTAGAACATCAATGGGCGACGACAGAGTGACAGTCCTTTAAACTTATCCGTACGCCTGGGTGGGGTCATTTGTACCCCCGGGGTTGTATTCTTCGCATTTTAGAATACTTCTCGTGCGAAGATCTCTTTGAAACTTTCAGTATTTCTTAAAAAAATCGTTTTGACAGACTGCTATGCAAAGCGTACGGATCTGATTACCGAATAAATTTCCTCTTTGGAAAGTGGTGGTACAGATTTCCCCACGTCGTATGGATACGATAGTAAAACACGTCGTACGGATAGGGTTAAACTTTACGTGAGAGTTAGGGAAACTCTCAGTCAGGCAGCGCCAGACCACGAGGGGAGGGCAGGGGAGGTGATCTTCCATCATCTCATAATAGTAATAGACGGTGAGAACTACAACTGGGACACGAATTTGTTGGATTCTTTTTTTTTAATTCTGGTGCCTTTTTTACGTCCCTATCAATACAATTTAGATTATTAAGGAGGCAGAATTCGCCCTTGCCTGGAAAAAAGGGCAGCACATACCTTGGTAAAAGCATATGCTCAAGAAATCAACATCAAAATACCAAGAGAGAGACAAAAAGAAGTCAGACAAGAGGAAAGAAGGAAAAGAAGTACAAGAAACACCCCGGAAGCAATGGAGAAGGACATCACCATGGAAGAGCTGAAGAAAGCAATATAAATCAACTAAAGCAAAGAAAATCACCAGGCCCCGGTGAAATTACAAATGAAATGTTACAACACCTGAGCAACACAGCCTCACAGACTCTTCTGGATATATTCAACTAAAGATGGGGAAATGGGCAAGTACCCCAGTGCTGGAAAGAAGCAACGATGATCCCGATCCTCAAGCCAGGGAAAAGAAAGGCACAACCATTAAGTTATTGACCTATCAGCCTTACAAGCTGTGTATGTAAGACAATAGAGCGCATCACAGCTTGCAGTAGTGGTACCTAGAGGCACAACACATCCTAGTACCAGAACAAGCTGGATTCCATCAGTTCAGGAGCACAGAGGACCAAACAACTTACTTGTCCCAAGTTATAAAGTATAAAGGACTCCTTCCAGGCACAGAAAGTGATGCTAGCAACATTTATTGATCTACAAAAAAGCGTTTGACAAGGTTTGGAAGGACGGTCTATTAGTCAAGCTCCTCAGAAGTGGTATCCAAGACAACATGTACCAATGGACCAAATCCTATCTACACAACCGAAGAGCACGTGTGCTGGTGGATGGATATCAAGGACATAAAATGCTGCTGCGACAAGGAGTACCCCAAGGTAGAGTCATGTCACCTTTGCTCTTTATCCTCTTCATCAATGACCTAATGAAAAAACTGCCCAAAGGAATACATGCCACATTGTATGCAGACGACCTGGTTCTTTGGTGGTCTGAGGAATTCGTCACTACTGCCACATATCGCATGCAACTAGCACTGGACAAACTCACTACATGGACAAAAACCTGGTGTGTAACCGTAAACAAAGAAAAGTCCTCTGCTACACTCTTCACTCTCAGCCAGGCTGAGCCAAAAAAAACTCACATTGGATAAAAAAAAAACTTAAAGTTTGAGAATCAACAGAAGTATCTTGGAATAATCTTTGACAAGCGTCTCACATGAAAACAACACATTCAAAATGCAGAAACTAAAGCCAGGAAGAAGCTTAACATCATGAGAAAACTTGCAGGGACTCAGTGGGGAGCAAATGAGAAAACACTTAGACAGGTCTATCTAGGCGCAATCAGGCCCCACCTCGAGTACGGATCCAGTGCATGGATGACTGCAGCACAGACTCACAAATACACTCTGGAAAAAGTGCAAAACCAGGCTCTCCGAATTATCACTGGAGCAATGAGGTCAACACCTATAGAAAAGATGGAACAAACAACATCTATAGTGGCCCCACAGAGGAGATGGAAATGCAAGGCCCTCATACAGTACACCAAGGCCACAGCTATGGAGGATCAAATAATGCACACAAGAACAGCCAGATCAAACACCAGAAGACTTAAAAGATCCAACTTCATCATGACTGAAAAATTCAAAGATCCCTACAAGGCCATTTACCAGCCACAGTGAACATGCTGAACCACACCCCAGAGGCACCACCATGGGAAAAGAAAAACACAAACATAATTATTTACATGTCCATTCCTATGTTCACCACAAAAGATGACCACAGCGACCAGAGCAAGAAATCCCTCATCCTGTCCATGCTTGAAGAAAGATACCCTCGAGAAGCATGGATAAAGATCTATACGGACGGATCTGCCACTGATAATGTGAAAAGAGGAGGAGCCGGAGTGAAAGTACAGTTCCCAAATGGACGACGACAAGCAGAGGCAGTCCCAACAGGGCGACATGGTACAAACTACAGGGCAGAGACGGAGGCTCTAATACATGCAGCAAACATCATCAAGAATGTGGTAGACCCCCAAAGCCAAGTAGTATTCCTAACTGAGGCCATGTCAGTACTGCAGGCAATCACAGCCGGCAAACTACATGTACCAAGGCTACGAGAAGTAATTGAGGACATCCCATGTCTGAGGACCATGCTGCAGTGGATTCCATCACACTGTGGTATTTTAGGAAATGAGCAGGCAGACAGGATGGCCAAACTAGGAGCACAGAAAGAGCAACCAGACAACAGCGTAAACTACACAGAAATAAAAACTATTCTAAATACCCTATTTAAAGCACCACAGACACCAGATAGCTGCCATGAGCTGCCCCGCCAAGAACAGGTGATTATCTTCCGACTACGAACCCAACACACAAGACTGAGACAACACATGTACAGACGTTTTAAAACTAGCACAATCACCAAAATGCCAGTGTGGAGAGGCGGACCAAACTGTGGAACACATCCTTCAGCACTGCAAGACACACAGGGCCCTGAGACAGGAAACATGGCCAACCCCACTGACACTGCAAGAGAAGCTATACGGGCCGACAGATGAACTGAGCAGGACGGCCCAATTTATGACAGATACCAAACTGCAAGTGTGATGCGATCGAGAAGAAGAAGAAGACCCTACCTGTCAGGGGCAACCCTGTTTGAGAGGGATACAATGCGCCAGCAGAAAGACCGATATACTTGATAAAAATTCTCCTAACACGGGAATCGAACTCTGGTCTTCTGCGTGCGATGGCCAAGCTACACCAGAAACGCCGCATGGGATGAGGAGGCACACGTCATCAAGCGTTATCTACACATACATATTATATGTCAGTGGTCTGAACTTTCGCAGGACGAAAGGTTCTATTCCAGGTGTCCGTGAAAGTGAACCATCAGGAAGATGTAGGGGGTATAGATGTGTCTCTTGGTGTAGACAGACAGCCATAGATGTGTCTCTTGGTGTAGACAGACAGCCATAGATGTGTCTCTTGGTGTAGACAGACAGCCATAGATGTGTCTCTTGGTGTAGACAGACAGACGTATCTAAACTCACTGCGTCTTCCTGATGGCCCGGCTGTTCCACATTGACCGTTATGGCGGGGAAACGTCCAAGAAGCAGGGCAGCAAAGTGCAAAAATCAGCCGAATCATTCACATCGTCATACAAGCTCTAAAATTAGCATATATAACCCTTATGACATGCATATTTTTTCAAAATGGCCGCCATTTTTCAAGATGGCCACCATTGCCGGTATACGCTACCATATAATGTCACACAGCATGAGGCAGTAGAGCAAATTATATGATTTTGGTGTCAAATTATATGTAATCAACCATGAAGAATCCAAATTTACATATGCGTACATGATAATCACCACCTTAATAGGCTTTTGGAACATATTATAACAATGACAATGGAGTTAGCTGTTCTGCTATTCATCAGGTCTCAAAAAAAATCCGACTTCAATCTCTACCGCCAGGCCTTATGGCATCTGAGTGAAATTTTCAGATGTTTCACTTACAAACTATCGTTGTTTACATAAATTTATATGTCACATACATCCAGATGTCATGGGAATGGAGTTGCAGTTTTCATGGGAAAAAACTGCTAGTTGCTCATGCCTCATGTACTAGCACTGTATCCCCTCTTGAAGACTGTATGTTTTGACATATAAGGCCGTGAAGGATTGTGAAGATAAAGATGTACTGTAAACGGCCTAGAATACTTTGATTCATGTTAATCAAATATCACAGTCAGGGAAATGCGCACTGATAGTGCGAGGGTGCTCTTTCCTTCACAACAGTGTCTGGAAAAAGATTTTGAAGATTGGCTTTTTATTTGTTTCCAAGGTCAATAGCCCGCAAACCATGATTCTACATCAGTTTTCTCTGCACCACTCTGGTGAAGATGTACACATTGTCAAAAAAAGTGTGACAAAACAACGAGTCTGGGAATTAAATTGTGAAAGAGTTGATTGAGTATGCAAAGGGTAATCCAGGACTTTCCTGCAGCAGCAGGAGACTTGCAGAGGATCCCGAGAGACTAAACACAAACTTCCCTCATTACTCCAAATTTTGTGAGCCTAAACCTGGAGCAAAGAAGCAGCGGTCCATGATTATGAGGGCTTAAAAAAAAAAACAGACAAGGTTTCAAAAGGAACCAGACTTGTTATTAGTGTAGGTGTAAGCACTGCAAGGTACATTTGTGCATTCCCCAATGTTTTGAGAATTACCATATAAAATGTGTGAATAAACGTTGAACTTATTATACTAACAATACACACAAACAAACTAACAGCAATAAATGTGAGTAGAAATGTTGAATTCACTTGTGGTTGTTTGATGTATGATACAAGTTTCTAGCTTCAGAAGTGTGCCTTTTATCACTGTTTTTCCAACTCTAACTCTAACCTGTGCCAGTGTGGTGTGAGAAAAATAATCCGCCACAAAGGAGGGGGGGAGGGGGAGGGATTAAAGTCAGTAAGAAAAGCCCACTCTAAGGGTTATGATACACATATGTCTCATGAACATAGTGACAACACATACATCATCATCAGGTTTACCAATCAGCATTTTTGCACACTAAACATCACACAGCTGAGCACAATATTTTGAATTTTGAATAGATTCAGTTATAGTTTATGGCAAGTCAGCGTAGCTAAAGGTTTTATTCCAACCAAGAACAGATTAAAACAACCCTAATAGGGAAAGAAGTAGAAGGAAGAAACCACACCAAAGCTTTAACTATAAAAAAAGATAATGGTAAACTTAAAATTAAACAGAACAAAACAGGTCTCTAATTCCTAGATGCAGTGGCACAATGGTAAGCTTTGGCACTGCGCAAAACTCTAAGATGAGACTATATTTTCACTGGCAAGGAAGGAAATTGTGTTCCACCTGGGAATGTGCCGTTTTAAAGTATAATCTTTTCTTCGGTACCCGGCGAAACTGGAGATGACAGCAGTACCTCATATACATGGTAGTTTCCAATTGTTTGTTCTTGAAATAAGAATTACATATCTACAAGCAACATAAATCATAATATATTTATGAAAATAAATAAAATAAGTCTGTCATTCTTAAATGAACTAAATGCCGTGAAGTTCAAAAATGGAAGTGAGGGTTATGATGCATTCTACAGCATTATCTTTTTCTCGGTCTCAGGGGCAAACAGTCAACGTCTTCACGCCGGTGACCCTTCTGCACTTCACCATAATACAGTGCACTCTCAAGGTTTCGAAGCATTCTCCAGTGATATCCTGAACAAGAAATGTGACTGAAAGTAATACACCGTGAGCAAAAATGACGATATTTTCAGTTTGTCATCTCCCAGCAAACAACCTAGACTGAGAAGCCCAATCTATGAATTTCCAAACATTTTTTTTTATCAAAACGAAAGGAGTGAAGAGGCACAACATGAAAAGGTTAAGAATGCTCTTAATGTTCAACTTATTATTTTATCAATCTGTTCTCCCTGATTTTTGTTCCTTTTCTTTGAAATAAATCAAATGAATCCAAATTTCTTTACACAGTGAGTACTTGACACAAACTTTACAACAGATTATCATGAAAACACAACTGAGCCTACATGAACAACTGAGAGACTAATTTCAAAAATATGAAAACAATTTTTCAAAAATTGAATCCAATATGACTTAACGTTAATTGGCCCTAGATCAAACATGGTAAAGAAGTAAACCTCACAACATTTCAAATCAAACACAACAACACATTCTTCTATGTCCATACCAGCTCTTTCTCCCACATTAACCCATGTGTGTCACGACGTGGTGGAATCAGGCGCTCAACAATTTTTGGCCATATGGAGTCATTGGTATCATTCTTAAAGCCATTTGCTTTGCTTTTTTGGATGAAAAAAAATACCCTTCTATCTTGAATAGGAGTCGAGATATTTGCGATTGAAGGAGGTGGAGTCGCCTGGTTTCAGTAGTAAAATTAATTAATGAGAAAATGGCCACCACAATTTGGTGATTTCCATAGCTTGAGAGTCCTTGAAAACTGAAAATTTAGTTTTTGTACCTGCAATCAACATTTTGGGTAATTCACACAGAAACGTGAAGTTAAATGGACATAAAAGATGTTGAGCCAAAAAAAAAAATTCGATAAAAATTGCCAAACCAGCAGAAAAAATGCAAGTTTCTTCGATTTCATTATTTTGATGAGCGCCCAATTTCACCATGATACCTCACATGTAAACATACCAGGCAGCTCGGGCCTCCACGGCTCGTTTCCTCACAAGACGCTTCCGATCATCAAGTACAGGCCCCAGTTCCCGCACCACACGTTTTTCATACGGAGCAAGGGCAAGCATTTGTAAGTTAGTGAGATTCTCCAGACACTCCAAGGCTGATATCCGGACTCTCTGGCAAAACAAAGAAGTAACATATAATATAGTAAAAGAAGTGCATTCCACTTTCTTCCCAACAGAGCTTTAACAATTAAATCAATTCAATATTCTGAGTTACGAAAACAGAAAAGAAAGGCTAGCTAGAAGACATGTTAGAGCCTCCACACACTCCAAGGCTGACAGCAAGACTCTCCGATAAAAGGAAAGGATTAGAAGAAGAGCAAATTGTACTTTAATCCCCACAAACCTTGCATAAACTCATCATTCAGCATCGAAAAGGACAATAATGAAATATGAACTAAAGCCAGACCTACCGATAAGTGCACTTCGCCTAAGGTATCTAAAGCCACACATTTAGAGACTTCGTTCATAGCCTTAGGTATATCTAAACACAAGATTTGCCTTTGACCAGGTATGTAGTGCACAGCAGAGGTTACTTTAACTTCTTTAACTACACTGAATCATCCAAAACACTCTCCACTTTTTAATAAAAATGAAATTGATTCCTATTAACTTGGAAGGGAACTGTTGACAAAGAATGTAAGAAGTATAAGACGGTACAGGGAAACCAGAGATGAGAAAATGAAGTAGTTTATATTGGAGAAAGCAAACAGAAAATACCTTATAATAAAAGCACTTACGTATTAAAAAAGATTTTTATCCTTGGGGGTTAAGATAATTGCAAAGGGGGCGAGGGATGGTGTTGCTTTGTCCTTGAGTCTGTGTGGGGGACAGGGAGGTGGCAAATGCCATGCACATTTGAAGCTCCACTAAACTCATTAATTTTTGGGGATAAAAATTTCCTGCCAACAAAAAAGCCTGAAAATATTGAAGTTGTGGAGCGCGTTCAGAAAAAAAAAAAAAAATTTTGTTATTCTACCTTTCACATTAAACGTACACGAAATAACGTTGAACAAACAGATATAATAAGTATTTGGGACATTTGATCACAGCAAACAGCCAGGAAACTTCTAAAAGCAGGATTTTCGCTTCAGCAGGAAAACTTTTATCCCTGAATTTTACGGATTCATTCTGTTTTGACAAAAAGCTCAATCTTAACCCTTCCAGCCCCATGCGCATATATTTTCAGCAGCGCTTGTACCTCCCACGATCCAAATAGCGTATATTCTCAGTTTCCATCATCATCATCATTGCCTTTCTCACCCTGGGTCAGGATATAGGCCACGAACAAACACTCTCCACCTTTTCTCAGTTTCCAGAGGTACCGAATTCGCGTATTTTTCTATATATTAGAGAACCTAATTAAACTTTGATTTTCATAATATTTGTTTATTTACCCTTAAATATCGTTATATGTTATTATCTAAACCTAGTTACAAAGACACTACATCATTTTTTAGAACACATCCCTCTTTTTCTGAAACACTGCTGTATTGGCTGGGACTGAGGTTAGGGAGTGCACAAAAATGGCTAGGGCCGGAAGGGTTAATGGGAGAAAGCTATTCGAGCAAAAAAAAAACTTATTAATAATACAACTGAAAATGAACAGTTTACCATAGACTGGTTTCTCTGAGCAATTTGCAGCAAGTTGGGAACTACAGAGTCCAAATGTGGCGTTATCACATCTGGTGTAGATGAAACTGCAGCACCCAAAGTCAGCAACGTCTGACTGTGTGCTTGTCCTCCTGCTTGCTCCAGAGATGACAGAAGCAAGGGCACTAACTGGAAAATAAGGGACAATAAAGGAATTCAAATTATACTGAATCCATAACTGTAAAAAGAAACAATAACTGTCATGATTTGAGAATGACAAAAGAGCAATGGTTTTGGTATAAATCCAACCACAACATCAAGCAAATATCAAGTTATCTTAAAAGGGGAGGCGACACTGAAAGTGGTGGAAAGAGTAGACAAACAGGCAACTGTCAATCCTTGTCCTTTCAGGACTTAAAAGGTTCATTATCACATATGGTCGCTTTTAAGGACAAGCGGGCTAACCTAGATTTTGGGGGTTTCCAGAAATCTTGACATACACCAAAAGGTGGGCATTGCCCTACCTATAGGAGAAGTTGGGTTTCATTGGTGTGTATATTTGTTTGGTTATAGAGAAAACCCTCCTTGTCTTTTAAAAAAACTGAACAAGGGGCAAAAATTTTACCTTCCATTTTCTCAAAACAGCATTTTTCGGGATAGCCCCCTTGTGCTTAAAAGCAACATATACTTAATGAAACTGAGACAAATGAAAGTTTTTATAAATTTCAAAGATTTGCAGAAAAAAAATTTAGCAACATTCATGTTCCCCCTTATGAAACTGTCTGAAGTGTAAAGAGGAATCTGGTTCTCTGGATTATTTCATACTACCAGTTACAGCACATAAGAACAGACAATTTTATAAAATCAGTAACATAACTTATTCTTTTATTTTGGCATGTGTCTATGTGTACATGGTGGGGTATGGGAAGGAGGATGAGATATGTGAGGCAACGCGGTGAAATCAGGCGGTCGTCTCGTCAAAATATCAAAATTAGAGAAACAGGCATTTTTCCACCAGTTTGGAAATTTGTATCGAATTTTTTTTTTTTGCTCAACCTCTTTTATGTCCTTATAAAAAACACATTTCCATGTGAATTTTACGGAAAAAAATTTATTAAAGGCAAAAAATATGTAATTTCTCTGTTTTCATTTATTTCATTAGAAGCAAGGCAAATAAATCAGCTATCAGAAAACCAATAGCTCCAATTGCCCAAAAATTAACGAGCGTCTTGACACAAATACATAATTTATGATTTTTTTAAACTCATTAAATTGCTAAATTTTGTTTATTTTTCAAAACAATCACAAACACACTCAAGTCTCACATGTTTATATACTTACTTTGGACAAATGTGGTTTGAGCACCTGCAAGGGGAGATGTGATGTCAGCAAGCATATGGCTGTTAAGTAGTTTTGTTTCACTTCTGAAATAATAGTAAACATAATAAATAATATTTTTTTCAAATATTAACTGCATTTACATAGCACATCCACACTGTAAAGCAAGCTCCATGCACTTTACAATTATTATTACCCCAGCAGCCCCTAGAACACAACTCCAAAGCATTATTACATTTCTCGGGTTCCAGGGAAATATATAATGCATGCTGCAGATTATACACGCCAAAACACTAACAAACTGACAAGGTAGGCTCTCGCGGCCTGGAGGTTAAGGTGTTTGCTTCTCATTCAAAGGTCACGGGGGCTCGAATCTGGGTAACGACGAAGGAAAAATTTTCTTCTCTAAAATTGTCTCCTTTCACCCACTTTCCTTCTCTCTTGCAATATTCTATTGTCTGCTTTCGTTCCACTTTCTTCCCCCACCCCTTCACCTCCTTTGCCCCCTCCACTGGGCTCCTGACTCTTTCTTCAGCCTTTCTACTGCTACTCCTTGGCTCCTTCTAACAGCTGTCTTTCAGCCACACCCCTGATCTTCTGGTAGAAAAGATCTACACCTAGCCTCCTCGGACAAGGGTGAAAAATCTCGGAGGTCTCACGTGCAAGTTGCGCACGTTAAAGATCCCTTGGTGGTCCAAATCGATAAGAGTAGGCTGCAGCCGACATCCGGGCAAAATTCAAAATTTCCTACCAATTGAAAATGTTTGGTAAGTCCCGCACGCTCATATGACCTTATGCAGTTGCGAGCGCCGTAAAACACTTACCAAAAAAAAAACCGGACAAGACCTTTCACTGTCTATAGTCAGGTGGTCTGTTTACATGACACTGAAAGCACAAGATTTTTCCACCTGCTTTTTTCTAGTATGAGGTGCACAGCTAGAATCAAATCTAACACCTTTTCCAATAACTTTAAATTAAAATCTTACAACAAAATCTTTTCAGTTCTTTTTATTTCCGTGAGTGTGGACGACAAAATGTTTCAAGAAACCAGAAACACTACTTCTTTAAAATCTATCAATAGCGATTTCTTCTTTTTCAGCATTAAACAAAAAATGGTTTTACGCATTCATTAAAAGATGTTGCAGCAAGGATTCCATCAATTAAAAAAATGGAGATACTATCTCAGTTCTTTCCTTGAGACTGTCTTCAAGTCTGTGGGTTTTTTAAGTCTATGCTCATGCTGTATTAAACAATGGCAAACCAAATCAATTGTTTCTATCTTTTGGAGGAAACCACAGGGGGAATAATATGCTGTCATATTTAATCTTCAAGCACATTTCACTCACTGTAGTTGGATGAAGGGGGGGGTTCTAATATAACTATATCGTTATACAGATAAGGACATGACCATGTAAGAGTAAACAATTGTCATGAAATCCAGGATCCAAAGGTTAGATTTTTCTTTAAAACCAACAAAACACAGGCTATTTTCTTTAAAGCCTTTAAAACTATAACTAACCAAAATTTTGGCGCTCTGAATATCGTGTTGAAAAAGAACAGGATGTATCTCGTTTCACTTGACAAGTATCAATAACCATTTGGGTAAATTCTGATGGCTGCCGCAATCTAATGAAAAACCAGCAAATATGTATGCACATAGTTTGGGGTGTGGAGAAGAGTCACTGAGAATGATGCACAGAAAGGAGGGAAGACACAGAATAATATCAAGAAGCTAGCCCAGGATAGGGAAAGATGGCACATGATTGTTCATGTGTACCCTAATGTAAGGTGACAAGGGCAATGATGACGCTGAGAAAAATTTTCACCTTAGACAAGAGGGTGAGAGAAACTTGTAATGAAAAGCAGTGTCCAAATACCTTGAGACTTTGCTTGTTCATAGCCTTCCAACAGATGTTTAAAGTTAAGAGTGAAAAACCGTTGTTTGTACAAGGGTGTGGTGCTTCCGTTGAGCTTTGTGGTGAAAATATCGTCCCCATCCTGCACCACATGACCTAGGCCTCGGGCAGCAGCAGGTCCTAGATTCGGATCCCCCACTACAGATACAAGCTGGAAGGAATAAAGTGAGGCAAACTGAAACAATAAAACAATAAATTCATTTTCCACAATATAAACTTTTTGTTTTATTATGATCTCTCTCTCTCTCTCTCTCTCTCTCTCTCTCTCTCTCTCTCTCTCTCTCTCTCTCTCTCTCTCTCTCTCGCTCTCGCTCTCGCTCTCTCTCTCTCTCTCTCTCTCTCTCTCTCTCTCTCTCTCTCTCTCTCTCTCTCTCTCTCTCTCTCTCTCTCTCTCTCTCTCTCTCTCTCTCTCTCTCTCTCTCTCTCTCTCTCATACACACACACACACACACACACACACACACACACACACACACACACACACACACACACACACACACACACACACACACACACATACACACACAAACACACATATATTTACGGAAGTCCTGTTGTCGCGCAAAAAAAAAAATAACACCTGTATTCTCTTGTTCCTCGTAAAATGCTGAATTTATAACAACATCAACATCAGCAGCAGCAGCAACAACATCTCGTTTCTCCCAAACCACTCACATGAGAAGAGAAGAGAGCAGCGGCAGAATGAGAGCGACACTCCATGGCCTTGGTGAGCCAGATCCACAGAGTGAGGGCACGCAGACAGGAGGCCGACTGTCCACTGTTGCTGCTCATCGCAGACTTACTTTTCTCCATCACAGGTTCCAGCAACCAATGAATTTGAGCACCTGGTACAGAATCCAGAAATATTACAGAGGTTAATGGCTTTCATTGGTCACTGTGTTAGTCATTATCCAGCTTCAACGCCCCTTTAAACATTGTGAGGTTATTAATTAAAACCTCTGAATTAAATGTCCATCCGCCAAATGGGTGGAGAACTTTAAAAACTCCCAAAAAAACAACTCAAGTTCAGAATGCCCTGTTGGGGATTCAAAATAGGATCATCTACTCAATACTCAAGCATGATACTAACCAAGCTTACAGTGTGCCCTTGATAGCTATAACAGGGGGCAAAGCCTTTTTAAGAGTTTTGAAAGACACAGAACCAATTTGCCAAGATTATAAAACCTTTGTATGAGAGGTTATCATTTCACCTGTTAAGAAACATTGATTCAACAATAGTCAAAGTCCACTTAAAAGAAAATTGTAGAAAAATTAGTCTCCTAGTTCTTCTCAATTGCATCACACTTGAAGACCAGTATCTATATCATATACCTGGCCGTCCAGCTTGGCTGACAGCTACGTAAAATCAGGAATCCATTTGTTTGATACAAGATGATCTGTTCATCCATGATGCAAGATGACAGCAAAGAGAAACCAGAGGGTACTATGATACTGCAGAATTAACTAGCACACCACTGCACACTTATTAAAGGCATATATGTGTTCCACAGAAGGCTGTCCTCTGGAATCTGGAAATCTGAGAGTGTATTTTTAAAAAGCCATTTATATAAACATCTAAAACAATTCCAAACTAAACTGCATAATATTTGCTTTCTTTTCTTTCATTTTGAAGAGTTTGCTTTGCTTCTTATAGAATCCAAACATACAAATTCACATAGATGCACATGCATCTTATACATCATTAATGTTTCAAAACACCCAAACAAATTCAGAATGGCCAACTTAATACATACCAAGAGGGGCTTTGTTCACCATTGATGCTACAATTTTGCAAGCAGCAATGTGAGAAAACTCATCTTCGCAAGACAAGGCAAACCCAAAGGCAGATTCGAACACGGCTTCCCTATTTTCCACAGTCCACTGAAATACACAAAATAAAAACTTTGCACATGATGCACTTATAATAGGAGCTCTTGACAAGAAACAAAATATAGAAGTGATTACACATTACCTAAAGAGGTTGATTGAAGAAGTAGTAACTCATTTCAAAATTTCAAAAATTCGTAGAAGATGACCTCAAATAAAGTGGAAAAACGTGTTCCCTTCACTACAATATCACCCTACGGAAGTAAATATAGCCTTCAATTCACTTAGAACAATTATGTATAGAGAACTGTGGAAGACAAATCTAATATAACCTTGAACTCTTAGATCTAAAAATAGAAAGAACCCCCAAAGGAACAAAGGACAATGACCCTAAAGCCTTTATAATAAAAGAGGCCGTAAGAAAAAAACAGAAAGCGAAAAAGGTCCAGCCTACTTAGTGGTCAGCGCCTTCAAAAGTGTGGTTTATATCAGCAAATGAACTGAGTAGGTGAATCCAAATAACACTATGACCTGTTTTTGTTTCATATTCCTATGGTAGAAGCTTTGTGCAATAGATTTTTAAAGACAGCTTACGACTTGATACAACACATAGGTAGCTGAACCCTGAGTACTGAAGCAAAAGATAATACGTATTCTTATCATATGGCATGCCAGTTCAGCTGGCCACATGCCCCAGCTTGGTTGTTTACAATCATAACATAAATCTATGAAATCCCTGCATATCTATCTTATTCATAATCAAACTGTATCTTAATTACATGGAGCATTCCTCTCTACTGTTTGATGTTTATTCAGTATGGATTAGATAGGCTCACATTTATAGGGAAATTTGTGATGCTGAAACTTAGGAGGAAAAAACTAGTTGTGTACAAATATGCAAAGCCTTCCGTATATGGTCATAGAGTTAATGAGGTAACGTACCTGGATGTTGACCCCCTCCACAAATCCCTCCAACAAAGCGATGAGTCGCGTCTGTTGCCAGGGAGATTTGGGCTGTGGAAGAAGAATCAGTTGACAAATTCATTTTGACAATAAGAATTAGGAAAAGAAAGACTGCATGCTAACAAACTGTAAGTATTTTTGTACTGGAAATATTGAGCAGTAATAGCTCTAAAAGTATCTAGTACAAGTAGTTCAAGGTGCTCATTTAAAGTATTCTAAATGAAAATATTCCAGCAAGCAAGAAAAGCAAGAGTTCGGCAAGGTCCATTACAACCCATGCAACAAAGCTTAAATCTTGTTTCCACAACAAAAAACAATATTAAAAAACAGAAAATCACTCCCAAGATTAAATATCGTTTTATTGCAACTTTACCTAAAACCAGATTCCCGACACAATTTGCAACAAAGTGATGTGATAATTTAAAAATTGAGAACAGCATTTTTCCTGAAGACCAAATGTAGGACCGTGCCCCATCAGAAATCAAACTCACAATCTCTAGATGACATTTTGGGATCTTTTATATTCAAGTAAGCCTGGCTAAATAATAGGAATTTTAGTTCTACAAAAAAAAGACAAATTTCTTCACCCAAAGTAGAAGCTCACCTGCAAAGGAGTCAAAGCAGGAAAATCTCCAGACAAACCAATAGCATGAGCATCACCCAGGAGATAGAACTTCTGCAATGCATCCCACAGTTTGGTGACATCCCTAGCAAGGATAATTAAAATATCAGTTGCATTTAAATGATATTAAAAGAACACTTTGTATACATATATAAATATATATAGCTTAAAAGGAAACAAACTGTGGGCTACAATCTTGTGACAAATGTCCTGGCTAGATTTATGTAACAGACAACAGTAAGAGTTTAGACTGACATATATATCAAAACAACAGGGCAGCACTGCTGTTTCTTTCACATCATGGATATTGAAGTTGAAAATGAACTCTTCCAAACAACACCCTCCCCCCCCCCCCCCCCCACCCCATACCCCTCTATTTTTTTCCTTTCTACCACAAGCAGAGCTTTAAAACCTTGACAGCCCAAAGGAACAGAGTGAAAAAATTGGACAGGTTTAACAAACTTTGATACACTGAAAGGTTATTTAAAAGGTGGGACCTCCAAACTTTCCAATAGAACCGAGCCAAATAGGAATATTCATGTGTAAAGTGCATTTCCCAAAGAATGGTGGATGAAGCAGGGCCTCAAACCCCTGAACTCATAATCTCACAATTACAATTACAATTACAAGTCCAATAACCTGAGCACTAGACTGCTCGTCGCCTCAGAACTATTTTGTCCAAATTAGTTCTGAGGCGACATACTGTTACCACCAAGGGGGGAGTTGGGGACAACGACTTGAAGTAAAGAGGAGTTTCAAGCGAACCAGTCACATTCTCAATGCTAAACATGTTTCAATATTTACAAAAAGCGGAAAATAGTTTCTGTTGCTGCCAAAGGTGTGATGGCCGAACTTTGTTCCTCTCATCAACATACCGCTTTATGAAGAGTGCACGTGGTTGAAAAAGTCTTGTGAAATCCCAAGACAAAATTTGTTTCACTGATCTCCAAATCAACAAAAACTGTTTCAAAATTAAACACTTTCTTCCATGTTATTAGAAAAAGACCAATCTACCTGATAAGATACCAAGACCTTTTTATCTCAGAGATATTGCCACCATAAGTCTATATTGACACAAGAATCTAGAAGTAATATTCACTTTATATTAAATGTATAGAATTGTAAAAGAAACTTGTTTCCTTAAAAGAGTAAATAAGAAAATAATGTGCTATATAACAAATAAATACACCTAGCAAGGCCAAAAAAGTTCTATAAGTCACCCTTTTTGCATGGAGTAGCCCAATATCTTCAAGATATTGCTGACGACAGTGAGCAGTTGAGAGACCTTCTCCTTGTCGTCATCTTTCCACTGACAGCTGTGAGTCACGACTGACATCACAACAGGAAAAGCCAACTGCTCCAGCACCACAGCCATGACCTCTGGGTCAGAGACGTGCTGCGATAAGAGCTCCCTCACAGACTCTGCATGGCCAGATACATCAGCGATATCTGTGGTAGATATATCAGTGATATCTGTGGTAGATATATCAGTGATATCTGTGGTAGATATATCAGTGATATCTGTGGTAGATATATCAGTAATATCTGTGGTAGATACATCAGTGATATCTGTGGTAGATACATCAGTGATATCTGTGGTAGATACATCAGCGATATCTGTGGTATGCAGAAAACCCAGAAAAAGCTTCCAGCTGAGATGCTTTCACTCGAGTATCATTCAAAGTGTCACCAATAACTATTCCCTCCCCTTTGTACCCAGCCCTTGTCATATGCGTCATTTGTAAGGACCTTGTTGTTGTCATTGTATCAGTTTAAGGACACTTTCAACACTGTAAGTTTATATAAGAGGCGGGACCTCCAAATTTTGTGTCCATCTCCGACCAAATGGGTCAAGAGCTTTAAAATCTCCATAAAACAACTTTTATTTAAAAGCGCCCAGTTGGAGATTCAAATCAAGGGCCATCCGCTGAATAATCCAGTATATCAACTGAGCTTTCTTTTTAGTAACGTTTTACAGCGCTCACAACTGCATTAGATCATATGAGCGCCGTCAACAGAGCTGAAGGAGAGCCAGTAAGGACCTTGGAGAGGTAAATCTTAAATGATAACGATAACCTTAAAATTTTAAAGTTATCAGTACAAAAAAAATTTTCTTTAAGAACTCAGCATCTTCTATTAGCAGTGAGCAGAAGCCATTACCCATTACCAAACTTACAAAATCTGTCATAGGTCACCAATACCAAAATAAGTTTAAAAATAAACAGACAATGCAAATTCTCAGTAAGAATATGTCAACTATCTGTACAGAAAAATTTCCACAAGATCACCTAGATTTGAGGGGCAGGGGCCTTTTTTCCCCTCTCAGTAATATCACTACAAGCACCCAAGCCCTTCCACAAAAAGTATTTTTTAAAAAGGAGGTTACCTGTGCCTGCTTGTGAAATGTGTTTGAGGAAGAAATTGTTAACATCAGTAAAAGAGTTCACATCAGTCACCGTGGCAACCAACACTTCCTGCGCATAAGATGCTTCACCTGTCATAACAAAAGAAAGCTTCATTATGGACAAATTTTCGGAGCAAATTTTCAACTTCTCAAAGGTGATCCCTGCCAGACCCGGGGGGGGGGGGGGGGGGGGGGGGGGGGGCCCCCCTGACTGTTATGTTTTCAATCCAAAAATGCCACAGATATTATCAACTTTGTTGCTTTCTTGGCCAGAGTGTCAGGTCCTTTGCTTTACAGGTAAGGTAAGGAATCTGGAGTTTAAAGCTTTTTAATCTTATACAATGCTCTCCCCCCTAAGAACCTAGTCATTGGGGGAAAAAAAGCAGGTTCTGAGGCAGACAAGGTTGCTAGGGAGATTTCAAGGGTTGCAACTCAGCTCCTATTAGTTACCTTCCCCAGGTTACTCCTTCTTCACCACAGCATCTACCAAACACTCCTCATTTTCCAAAATCAGAAACACAATGATATCCTTTGCTCACAAGTTTTATTAGCAGTTTTCTAGAATCAGTAAACAACATTGCACGTACAAGTGATGACTACGATTTATATTCTAAAAACATTCAGGCATTAGTTTATCAGACTCGATATACCTAACAATTCCAGCCAAAAACTGGAAAATATGATACAAACAAAAAAACTTAAAACACATGGCAAAGTGAAATCAAATCAGCACATAGTCCCTTAGAGGGCTTCATTAAAAGCAAGTTCTTATCTCGCCTTCGTTTTTTTAGAACATAACATGAAGCATCAAACCTGATTTGATTGCAGCCTTTGTCAATTCAGTAATGTCAGGTCTTGCATTCGGCCGCTGCTTCAAAACTTCATGAACACTAGACAGATATAACTTCCTGCAATAGACAGAGGGACAAAAAGTACTCAAGAGGTCAACAGAAAAAAATCGTAAGAAAACTGCGCAGGCCATGTAAAATGTTGGAGAATGCACTCCAAAATGACTTACAGGAAAGACATACTATAAACAAACGATAATGTATATACACAAGCCTCCATCCATCTTCCTTACTCACACAACAGCCTACTTCTTACTTCCCTACCTACCCTCAGTTATTTAATTAACTTCCTTCCCTCCCATCTTCTAGACCACCTTTCTATTTACTTTCAATATTTTACACAAGACCGGCCACATAGTATGTAAACACTAACACTAACCAAAGTCATTAAAACTCCTAAAATATCCAAAATATTTGGAAACAAAAATAAACTCTGTTGCAGCATGTGACAGGAGGTTCCAGATCTAGCAATTCTTTAGACCAGAGGAAAAAAGAATGAATAATACCATAAGCAAAGCAACTACAGAAAATAGCAGCATGCACTTTTCCGTACTGCATTGTGACTTTACCTTCATATTTTCACTAAATCTACAATGTTAAAAAGTAACAATGAGTATGAATGAAAACAACAATTGAGACACACTTCATTTTCCTAACCGGATGGTGTCATTTTCAGATAAATATTATGCTAGGACTAAAAAAAAAATGATTTCTGTTACTACTTTCTAAAATCAGTTGTCATTTCATGTTTTCTATAACATTCTTATAGCAATAACATCTATACTTATCTCACCTCTGCGCAGTATCCACTGTGTGCATGGCTCGCGTTGCCATAAGTTTCAGATATGATACACATTTTTCCTGAGAAATTCCAAATTGTTCTGTTTTACACAAGGTTGACAAGGACTGTGCTGCCTGTGACTGCAGTTCCTGGGCATTTGTAGCAAGTAACTCCTCAAACACATCACAGACCGGACCGATGTACTCTGAAACACTCTTGGCAGATTCTGTGAAATAGAAAAACAACCAATACAAGTGTACTAAATCTAAAGTACATTTTAAAGAACCCCCCCTGCCACTCATCCTTTTTTAAAAATGAACCTCCAACAGTTTAAAATAGCTGAATGAGTGTGATGGAATCTTTGTTAAAGTTCCATCGAGTGCCAGATCAGCAACAGACATTAGCGATCTTGGTTCACCATGCATTCCTTTGTTCGGAGGCTCTCGAAAAAGTTATAAAAATATAATCCTGATCTTTCCCCATCGCCCATCTGTTTAGTCGTTCCTAGCTAGCTGTTCTGAGTCAACCCCTGTCTCATTTGCCTTCAATTCTACCAGTGAGAGCTAAGTGTTCAAGGCCTTTATGTTTATTTAAGTGTTCTAGAAACTGCATTTATCTTTTTAATTGTTTATATCAGCGAGCGGCACACGCAGGCTTCTTCAAGTACTACCTCATTTGATTTCTCTTCCCTTCAAGAAATTGTCAACAGTCTCCTAAGAAACCACATTTCTGTTGTTTCTATTTCATTTTTACTGTCTTTAGTGATTGTCCAGCATTCACAGTTGTATAGAAAGATTGATCACAGGACTGTGAACTTTCACTTTGGTAGTCATTGAGATGTTACTATTATTCTCTGCATACGCCATACACATCTTAAAAGAAATAGGAGAAAAGGAGAAAACCTCAAAACTAATGATGTAGTTGCGAATGAGCAGAACAACAATTTAACCCAAATGCAGTAATGAGTGTAATAGCTGCACTTTTGAACCATGTAAAGTTTTCTCAAATGTGCATTAACCTACAAGGCTCAAAAAGCAATATTCTCTTAGCTCATAAAAAAAGCAAAACAAAGGAACAATTTATTTTTTCTTTAAAACAATGAAATCAACAGTTGCTTATATAACACTTAACTACTTTGAATACACGATACCAAGTGATGACACTTATACTTACCGCTGTTTGTACTGAATTTCACAATTTGTTGAGCAAAACCCGAAAGCTCCATGAGGTATGAATGCTGTACGGACACCTGATTAAACAATAAAATATAAAAACAGGCATTAAAAAAAAAAAGAAATATAACCTTAAGAAAAGTGTTCATTTCATCTAAAAAGTTACTATGTATTTTCCCATTTTGAAAGTGGAGCCAAGCTGTTGTAAAGAAAGAAAAGGGACGTGACATAGTAGTGAGGACTAAAGTATAGCCTCCAGATATACAACACTGAAGATTATCATGTGGAATAGGCTAGAGAACAACAAAGATTTGATGGAAACAGAACTGGTGGGAAAGGGGTAAAGTGGGAATACTACTAACCTATGCCCATCGAGGATAACATATTATTAGCCGAGAGCTACAGGAGACTGTCCAAATTCTAACTTTATTCTTCCACCCATCTATTGTAAACATTAACCCTCATCCTGCGGGAGCCGGGTTTATGTAGCCCGATAAGCCTATTTCGGCACCTCGCCTACGTTCTGGTCCCGAATCAGTGTAGCTCCTGGCTCAGCGCACGCTCAGCGCACGCGCAGCGCGCATCCTCTTACGTGTCGTTCGGGTCCCGAGTCGGATCCCCATTCACGCATGTCAAGTGTGTGCGCGTCAGTCTGCTTGAGTTTGTATGCGTTTGTGGCCTTCTTCTAGAACCGCCTGCGTTGGTTCGTAATCGAGGCATACGTCTCATTCAAAACATGCCAAGTTGGTAGCTCTAGATGTTCGTCCAATGAAATTATAGAAGAAATTGACCCACTTAGACATGAGGAGCTCGAAAGGATAGTCAAGAAACAAGACTTCCATTTTTCTATACAAAATATTTCAAATGAGCTTGATTTTGTATGAAATGATACTACTTGATAAAAAATAAGCTTGTTTGATAGTTTTGAATACCATTGTGCAAGTACAAAGAACAATTTGAGTGAAAAACATTCGGAAATTGACATAAATTATCCCCTTTCGAACCTCAGGTCATTCATAACAACAAGAGCGTCCAGAAAGGTTATTCGAATGGGCGTAACTACTCGTAATGTCTTATCAGCTTGTGAGAGGGGGTTATTCATGTGTTTGTAACACTTTATAAATAGAAAGCTATGAAGGATAAAGCGTTATTTTCATCATTGGTTAACACACTCCCGCGGTATTCATGGTGAAAACACACGTTTCCCGGCGCGCGCGCGCTATACACCAACAGTACACACTGAGTGACCCCGGCGGCCTGCCCGGCACATCCAACGTAATCGGTTGCTGATAAGATACGCATCTGGGCACAGACGCAGGATAAGAGTTAAAACAAATGGCCATGAACATAAGAACAAATGAATAGATACTGAAAGGTTTGGCTGCAATTATCAACATGTTTTATACGATGGTGGTCCAACTTACCTGTGACTGATTTTTGACTTGCAGTATTAAGACAGGCAGTACCAGAGGTGTCATGGCGCAGAATGCCAAAGGAGAAGAACTTGCCACAGCCCGACATAGAGAGAACGCTAGACAACCTTTTGTGACATCTGAGCCTTCCAAAAACTTGCTGACATCTAAGAGAAAAAAAACAATTTCGCAGCTAAAAATAGGAGAAAACATGGCAGGGGTGAAATGTAAATATTAAAAACAGAAGGACTAACTTCCACAATTTAGTAAAGAATGATGTACACATTAGTGCTGTGCCCATTCGACTTTACTATTAGACATTCATGATTTTTGCACTATTCACAGCTATTCGAAGCGTGGCAGAGCCATTCGAATGCCGTGTGATTTTTTTAACAGATAAATCTAATGGATTTTCGTCTCCTTTTTCTCAAACGTAGAAAAATTGGAGTACATTTATATCTAAAATCATTAAGATAAATATACAGAAATACTCTTTATTTGATGGTTACGAGACAGAGTGATAAGAGGAGCCTACAAGAGTTATAAAACAATCCTTTAGAGAGTAGCTCTTATTATTCAATGTTCACTCGTCACACTATGGACAGCTCAAGCAAGGGCACTTGCCTCTTGAAGCGCAGTGAATGTTTTTTCCATGAAGTTAGCTGTCGCAATGAACTCCCCTAACCCTACTCGAAATTCGAAGCGCAATGAACGGTGACGTGATGTCAACACATTGCACTGTCTGCGCGCACGCGACAACAACACGCACGCGCTCAGTGACTGGCGTTGAAAAGCGCAAGTCAGATCTGGACTATCACAATATAAGAAAAAACTATTCGACGGCGCTGCAAATACCGGAAGTTAGATCTGGACTTATCACATATAAAAAAAATATGATTCGATGACGCTTCGAATGGCAGAAGTTAGATCTGGGATTATCACATATAACAAAAAGCCATTCGACGGCGCTGTGAGTAGCTGGCAAAAGTAGAATAGTAGAACTTAGGTCTGGGTTTATGCTTATCATATTTTAGACAAAAACATTTGACGGAGGTATTCGAAAATCATGAATAGTGAGCTCACGCTTCGAAGCTTCGATGATTTTTTGTTTCCTCAAGATTGCACAGCACTAGTACACATACATTCAAGACATAAGGTATCACAAAATGTAAAGCAAACTACAATCAATTCAGTCATGTTGACATCAAGTTAGACCACCACATACAAAAGCTCTATTTCAAGCAAGAGTACAATTGCCTCCATGAAGCACAGGTCCACTCCAAAACATAGGTCCACCCCAAAACAGAGTCATGCTTGATACAGTTTCAAGGTCTTGTTGAACATAGGGCAAGAATAAAAAGCAAAAGACAACATAGAAACTTGTTTGTTGCTTGTGAGGTTATAGTTTCAAACAAAACTGGATTGAAAAACACAGATACAAAATAAGCAAAAGAGAGTCCAGTTGCAGACAGGTTTACCTTGGTAGAGTTCAACAGCAGAGGTAGTCACAGCATCATCTTTGCTCTGAGAATGAAAGACACACAGTCCAAGATTTTAAAAGAAAAACTATTGAAGTAGGTGATTTTGTGGGGTTCTTCAATATTATTGTTAGCAAATTGCATTCCAAGTCTGAATGAAAAGCTTACTGGGGTCAGGCTGAATTAGTTTTGAACATCTATTTTAAAACCTGTGTTGCAATAAAATTTAGATGTGAAAACTTTTTTTCTATCCTGTAAACAATTCAATCGTTAATTATACAAAAGGAAAATGCTAAAAGACAAATATAAATACATAAGACATGCAAAAATAAAAAACACAAGTAAAGATACTCCAGAAAAAAAATAGGAATAAACACACAGAAACAAGAGACAATATGAAATCCACAAGACAGATTCTGACAAAAAGTCAAACACTATTTCTTTTCAGCAAGGAACTTACCGCATTTACATCTTCCTTCGGGGTCATTGCAGTGAAAACAGCCACAACGCAGGCTTTGGCTGTTTCAACTAATTCGGCTGTCAAATTCATTAATACCTGTAAAATACAAACAACTATGCGTTATTGAACAACAGGGTGGTCAGGGAAATCTTCCTCCTAAAAATCCTACCACACTAAAAAAAATTCTACTACTATAAGTCAAGTTGTATCTTGCAACTGTCAGTGTCACGGCTCTCTTCAAAAAGAATCACGTAGAAGGGGCTATTTCATACACATCTTAAGATAGCGGACTTGATGACCGCTGCCATTCCAAATGTTCCAAGGTAGCCATGTTTTGTGCGACTACACTGAAACTCAGCTATTTTAGAGTCTGAAAACATCTCATGAATGAGAAAACTCGTGTCAACAACTGCTCTCGTTGATTATTATATTACTGTTGGAGCTCCTTTCAGTATCGCTCACAACACTCATTCTGTTCTTGGTAAACCTAAGAATAGATTTGGCACCACACTGGCTGGTTTGGGCTTTCATGTGTTTTTCAGGTACCATGTGAGTGTTCAAAGCCTTTACACCTGAATGACCGATAACAAACACTTGGGAACAAATCTTACATCTAAACTTGCTTTTATCATTTGGATACTCCATCAATCATTCTGAATACTTAGGGTTGGACAACCACTCAGTGTTGATGAAGTAGCACTTTCCCATGATAGTGTATCTAGTCTAGATCTCTCTCTAAACATAGTCTACACATAAAGTCACAAAAATCCCCCCCCCCCCCAAAAAAATGTATGTCCCTAGCCTGGGTTTCAGTATGCCAAGTGCCGACAATCTTCTACTCTTCAAATCTTCAAAGACTATCTTGCTGAGTTTTTCCATGGTTTTAGATAAAGAATATAGATGCTGTCACTTTCACCAACCAACTTAGTATATATCATATCCCTCTCTATATATAAATATCACTGAGCTTATTAGCTCGCTTGACTATCACCTATCCAATGACACGCCAACCCTTTAGTCTTAGTTCAATAACATGGCTTACAAGGTATGACGGATCCCGATTTCACACAAAGCCTGCACCAACACGCGCTATGCAGAAAGCTCTCGTTGCAATCAAAATTCTAAATGCTAATGCTACAATTTGCAACCAAGTTCAGTTGTTATCCCCTCGTGTCGCCTTTAACACCCCCCCCCCCCCCCCCTCCGAGTGTATCTTTTTTAGAAATCAATAATGCCGCCATTCCAAAGTCCTATACTTCGCAGCACTCAAGACTTAGAATGAACTTTGGTGACCCCAACATTCGCAGTACTCACTCGACGTCTTATCACTTGTGACATACAAAGGTGCAGGTTCACTGACCGGTCACGATGGCGAGCCCGACAAGCCTCTAGTATAACTTTCTTTTCTTTTTACACAAGTGACAAATACTGATTTATTTTCATGGTGACACCACATTTATAATGCACAAACTGCATGTTACAATGTTGTGTTATTAGACTATTACCGGCAAATTTCAGGGTGATAGAAAAAGCGAAAGTAGAACGAGATTTTCCCGATCGAGCCTCGGTATCACTCATACACTTCCGCTTGCCGCCATAGCCGCCTGTTCACATGAAACATACTCTAGGACCGCGAAAAGCCGAATGATCGTGACCGACAAAAAGAACTTTGGGACGTTATCGGATTTGGTTTTAAAATATTTGAGAACTTTAATGTATTTTCCCGGGTTTTTCCCAAGGCTACTTAAAGATTTCCTTTTATTGCCGATGTTGATCCAACCATTTCAGTTGTAAAATAATTTTTCCGACAAAAATCCGACTTATCCGACCTAAACATAAATTTTTGTCCAATTTCCAACTTCCCTGGCCACCCTGCACAAGCAAATGTGAATCAAATACAACAAATGGCCAAAGTCACAACTACAAAAATAGAAACTCAGTGTCAAAGAACACCTTTTCTTACCTCTCTTTTCACACAAGAAACTATAGAGCCAAGAAATTCTGCAACGCCATTCCGACCATAAACAGGGGCACATTCTGTCTGGAAAAGGAAAAGAAAAAAAAGTAGAGTGCAATAAGACTGACAATATCTTTCAGTCCCATATCAATAACCATAAAATACAGTTGAACTACATTTTTACCACATTGAGTTTGAACAATCTTTTATAATCGTTGAAATGAAAATCTTGTTCTCCAACTCGTAAAGATTTTTGTTTTTTTTTAAACTGTATTACAAGTTTGTTTTCCTGCTAGGCCAGGATATTTCTTTTTCACAAACACAAATTCAAAATATTCCATATCTTCAGAGTATAGAGTAACTTCTAGACCAGTGCCACTATAGCATAACGACCAAGCTAGACACCAACAGATTACAAACCAATGTGAGAAATGCATCCATCCTGGCGGACTGGAGGTCAGAAGTCATCTTCTCCACCAAGAGAGGTACACAATGCTGAGCAAAGTCGACAGTGGCAGAGAAACATTTCCTTAGAGCTAGAATAAGATCTTCTTTGGTGATTCCATGGGGATTGTTTGCTGGCTGAAAGTCAAAGAGTGACATCTGTGTTTACACAAAATTATGTTTGGCTAAAAGAATGACAGCTTGTGACTACACAAACAACACACACACACACACACAAGGAAAGCAGTTCTACGCATTCTCAAACAATCTTTGGAATCCTGCAAACAAGAGGAGTCAAACTTCAAAAAGAGAAGAGTGGTGTTGAGATATCGTATATAGAGAGTCAGAGTGATAACTGCCATATTTGGGTAGAACATAAGGGCTATAAACAGAGAGAGAAAAAAAGGAGCAGACCATACTAGTGCCCCTACCAACCATCTGCAACTTTCAAAGTGACAGTCCTATCAGGGAATTAGAATTTTGTTTTACTATCTATCAACGAGTCGTGAAAAAGCATAGCATTTTTTATCCAAGATAATAAATAGAGACATGATATGCACTATCCTTAAACCTTCAAACTACCACAATGAGATTCCTTCCTCTTCCTGTAGTCTCCTTTCCTGTAATAATCAACTAATCCATCCTTGCTGTGACGACATGCAGGAAGACAAGACATGATGACATAACCAAATAATATTAACATAATGCTCTTAAAAAAACAAAATGCTTCACATTACTACGATGAGGTAGAGCCCTAACTTTGTTTTTGGAAGAAAAAAAAACAACAACAACAACACAAAAACATACTTTTAATTTTTTCCAAAGACAATTTTTCACGCAAGTACAGTAGATTTGTTGAACATACAGCCATTCTAACACAAAATTCCTGTTAACTCAAAAGGACTTCAAATCCTTGTTCCCCCCCTCCCCCCTCTTTTTTCCTAAGCATTGGCATTTCCCTAAACATGATTAAAATTGTTAAAAATCTGATTAATGCAACGAAATGTTCTGCCTTTTCATCGCATCTTCTGGTCGGTCGACAACACAACACGTATTCCCCCCCCAAGTTTTTTTGCTCACAGTAGCATACCATTGTCAATACACATCCATGATACATGATCAACAGGCACAGGACCCTCCTACCCTTAATTGAGTTTTTTTCTTCTTGTGCACACAGCAGGTGACAAGAGTGTGGTTTTGTTTTGCAAGATGGTGAGACAAGATATTGGGGTGCTGCCAAGTTCATGTTATCAGGGTTTTACTGTGTATGTGGTTTGTTTATTGGTTGGAATAATGAATAATGTTGGACTTTAATGAGAAAGACCCTGGTTTGGGTCCCTGACAGGGCTTTATTTTTTTACTTGGTTTGTGGGAGGAAATTTTAGGACTTTCTACTCACCAGGCATAGTCATAACAGAAATGGAGATTAACAAAGTGGTCCTACATCTTAAGAAATCTTAATGTGCTCAAAGAGTTGTAAAATTATTCATACATTTTGTAAGAGTCCATTCAGCATAGTTAATTTGGGAAATGTGCTTACAAATGGCATGTAATTATTATTATTATTATTATTATTATTATTATTATTATTATTATTGTTGTTGTTGTTGTTGTTATCATTTTTGTTGTTTTTGTGGTTTTTATTGTTATAATTATTTTATTATTATTATTATACTAAATTAAAACGTGTTGCATAAACACAGATGGGACAAACAAAGCTTACGGGAGTGAAGTCTATTGGAAAATAACAGCCAAGGACTTCAAACATTTCTTCAGTAAATGCCCCTGAAAAAAATGTCAAAAAGGAATAACTCCTTAGAGAAAGAGAACTGATCAAGAATAACACATCTACGAAATCCATCAATGATATGTCTCTCTATTAGTCTTATAAGTACCAAGAAGCAATCTTTAAAACAGCAGATACTTTTCAAAAATTTACTTAGCAAAACATAGTAAGTTCATTAGTGGTAAGTGTCAATGGTCAGCTTTTTTTATCAAAATATTGGCAAAACTAATCACATTGGAGATTGAATACTGCGACAGTCTATTTTAGTGCTGCAGTAAAAATTTAAGAACAAAGATAAACTAAGCACCACTTCTCAAAAAATGTAATAACAAAGATGCCATTATTTTACAGATGCCAAGACAACAAAACATTTTAAAGCCTTAATAACACTTTAAAAGTCTTCTCGGCAGTTTATTTCAAGTGTTTGTGCACACAAACAACCATAAAAAACAAAAACATTTCCAAACCTAGATGGAGCCTTGAGCTTATAAACTGGGCGCAGTTGAAGGCAATCATCAGATTCCTCGGATCTTTCTCAGAATCCATTTGTTGAATAAAACCAATGACAAAGTCACCACCCATTTCCTCCACATCTGAAAGAAAACATTGAAAGTATATTCATCACTATCACTCACTACTATTGTCATGAGAGTCCTCTCTTAACTAAAGAAAGCCTTCACAAAATTTAGAAGTTACTCTGTAGAAAATTTCTGTAGATTATCTGTAGATTTTCATTTTCAAGCATGAAACACAACATTCAATATAAACTTCTAAAGCTGCAAGAAGCTGAATTACTTGACAACATTAGATCTAAAATAGTTTGTTGTATTTTTAGAAGTTTCAAACATGAATACACAACAACAAAAATTTATGTTCAGTTGGCAGCTTCTAGACACAACCATTTTTGCTTTGCACTAAATACAGTGATCTCAGACAACTGAACAAAAGTGTTCCTAAGAGTTTCCAGATTGTTCTTTAAAGTATACATTTATCAACACATATGTCAGAAACACAACTTTTTTTATTTGTATTATTATCTTACATCAACTCTCAGGAAGGAGAGACGAATAGTCTTTACTTATAATACCATAATCTTCTCCTTTCATTGTAATTTTGTTTTAATTCTTTTATTTTTGTATATATTATGCTGTTTCTGAAGCATAATATATGTCGAAAAGATTCAGTAGAACATGGAACAGTGTGTATAGGTTATGGTACAAAATACTTCAAAGATGAGAAAAAGAAATATATCAGCCACTACCAGATTAAACTGGATCTCTTGAGTTCGCTTCATTGTTCTTTTGAAAAAATTATTCATTTCTTACAACTCTGTTTCAAAAAACCCTTTCAAATAGTAGACACAAGCGGAATTTAAACTGTCCAATAAACAGCCAAAGATGAGAACAACAAGGCAAGTGCTCCCAAAGTCCATCAAAGTACACAGGAGAATCATATAAGCATTATTTAAAAGGATACAAATAGCCAGGATATGTTCACTGCTCATTCCTGACTCAATTGGCATCACTAAACAATGCAGCAGTTTTATGACATATATTATCTACAGAAACTTCTGAGAGTGTTTAAGTAAAGAGCATGACTTTGAAAGCAGTATAAGTGTTAAAGCAGAGCATAATAAAACAAAGAAAAGATTTTAGCTAATTTCAAGCCTTCGCACCTGGAAAAGAATATCCTAGAATATTCTGTAGAACTGTATATGTTGCATATCTGTCTGACTGGGACAAACTTTGGTTCTGAACTTCTCGGAAAATAGATCTACAGATCAACTGTGGCAGTCCACTTGGTAAAGAATTGCAGCGACTAGTCTGAGAATTAAAAGATCACAGTAGCAAGAATGATGAGTAATCTTACCCCAAACACATAAACAAGATTTATTTTATTCTAAGTGGAATACTCACACAATATATCCAGGAAAGAATTGAAACCAAAACACTTTCTTTCTTATATAACAGCTTCATTGACATGTGTACTACTTTTACCAGTAACTCGAACTCTTCTTATTGCCATTTCCATGGCATTTTATCTGCTGTACATTATTCTAACAACAATTTATGAAAAGCTATGAAAAAAGATTATAACAAAAAACAAAGGTCTGGGAAAGTTTTATAAAATTTCAGACAAAAATTGACTTCAGTTTCAAGATCATGTTCAGTGTTTATATGTGAAAAGTATGCCACAATGTGTAAATCATATAGATCGCTGAGCACAAGAAGTTTAGTGACATATCCACTTTTGGTCCAAATGGAGTTATCAATATGGGTAATGGGATTTTAAGCCAGTCTTTTACCTCTGTTAATATCAAAGCCGTAGCTTAATTCGGTACCGAGAAATTAACAGGTTTTTTTCGATTATGTTATAGAAATTTCACATATTATCGTCAAAGTTTCAAAGTGTTTTACTGCGCTCGCAACTGAATAAAGTCATATGAGAGCGCGGGACACATTAAACATTTTCAGTTCGTAGGAAATGTTTTATTTTGCCCCGGTGGCAGCCCAAGCCTAATCTTATCGATTTTGGACCATCAAGGGATTTTTAACTTCCGCATGGGACCTCTGAGATTTTTCACCCTTGTCCGAGAAGGCTAGGTGTAGATCTTTCTTACCAGAAGATCAGGGGTGTGGCTGAAAGATAGCAATAAGAAGGAGCCAAGGAGTAGCAGCAGAAAGGCAGCAGAAAGAGTCAGGAGCCCAGAGGAGGGGGCAAAGGAGGTGAGAATGTGAGGTTAAAAAGTGGAAACGAAAGTAGACAACAGAACATTGTTAGAGAGCAGCAAGGAGAAGAAAATTTTCCGTCGCTATCCAGATTCAAACCCGGGATCTATTGAATGAGAGGCAAACACCTTGATCTCTAGGCCACGAAAGCCCCCCGTTTGAGTTTAAAGCTAAACAGGAAATACTGTTCCCAAAATAATGAAAAGCCAATTTCAAAAGTTTGAGCCTACAGACATAACACACATACCAAAATTGCCAGAGTCTGTAAAGCTTGTGGTTGTACTGAATGATGATCTGACAACTTGGCAATGAGAAAAGTGGCCACGAGCTCAACTGAAATAAGCATTTGACATAATTTGACACATATGACAAAATAATCGTGTAGGTCTGTGTTGTTGTTGTTGTTATCGATCCAGCAACAGCTGGGCTCTCGCCCTTCTGTCCAATGCCATGTAGTGATAAGTGCAGGTTTGTAGCAGTTGCTGTAATGTTCTGTAGAGTGTGTTGTCTATATTAAGTCTTGGAGGGAGAAGTGTAGCTCTGATGTCATTTAAGGCTGTACAGTGGAAAAGGTGATGATCCACCGTCTCATATGCATAGTTACACAAGGACACAGGGGGGGGAGTTCTGGTTTTATTCTGTTAAAGTTCAAGTGAAAGTTGAGCTGTATATATTCCGTTCACAGGCGGAAGATCGTGGTCTGTTTCTTTCTCTGTAAGAGGTTGATATTGTCATTTCGTTCTGTTGTGGTCATATTATGTTTGAAAACTGCTCTGCCTGTCTTTCCCAAGGCCCATCTGTTCATCCAATCTTGTTTGCTGTTGCCTTTAATTACTTTGATTTACAGTGTTGTATGAAGTTGGAATGTTGGGTTGTTCCTGTCTAGAATGATCCCCTTTTGGCGAGTGTGTCTGCTCTGTCATTTCCAGGTATGTTTGAGTGTCCGAGAATCCACAGCATCACCAGGTTGACACCAGGTTGTGGGTCCATAAAATATTAAGAAATTGGTTCAGAAAAGTGCATGTACCTCTCTCTCTCTCTCTAGAAATGATTACATGTGAACAATACTCTCTTTAACTTTAATCATATTCAACAAGCGAAAGAGCACAGGTTTTATTAGTTCAATTAAAATGAGCATGATGATGACAAATGAATTAAGAATATTGATAGGGTTATGCTCCTACTGTGTATCAGTAAAAAAAAAAAAATAGGTCAACTAATTTTTGTAATACAACCATTGCTGAGGTTGATTTGTGAGTCCTCTATAAAGATCAGGAGTCAGTATGCAATATGAATAGTATAAAAGTGCTGTGGGGATAGCTTTTGTGTCTACTTTCATTTAAATCATATGAGGTTTTTAGTTTATGTTTTTAAAAAAATTCAAGAAACTAGTTACAAGTTTGGAACATAACAACGTCAATATATGTGTAGCTCTTGATACGAATGAAAGTAGTATGTACAAAGCAAACCTTGATCACTTGATAGGAAGGATGGGGGCAAAAAATTCAAAACATGTCCTATCAGCCCAGTAGCTCTGCCTCTGACTACAGTGTCCACATTGGTCAGAAACTCCCTGATGACAAAAAAAACCACATTACTATACATGTTATGCTAATATTCATGTTTAAAAAGAAAAAGATGCACACAATTTTTATCATAAAAAAGCCTAACCTCATGAAACACATTGAAACAGGAGCGCAATCCCTTTGACACATACACTCTTTGATATAACACCAGCCCACAAACATTTAGCAGAGATAAAGGTCAGAACCTTAACTCTTTCACAGGCAGAAACTACACATCAGAGCTACTTGTGGAAATAAATATACCAGAAATGAAATATACAGAGATGTCTCATGCCAAAGAACAGATGAAATTTTTTTTTAAATTATAATGAAGAACTAAGGAGTAATTAAATGACAAAGATCAATAATCTGACTCGCCATGGACAAGCAACCAAGGTTAACTTCAAACAACCATCATTAGATAAAGAAGAGAAAAAATGTATAAAGCAAATACAAAAACATCAAGGGGAGATCATTTTTGGAATGAAACCAATTTTCAATTCCATCTAAAGACTGTGATAACTTGTGGCAACATCATTTTCCACAGCTGAATAGAGTGCTTGAACCTCTGTGTCTTAGAGTACGTTTTAAGCAAAGTGGGATCCTCTCAGATTAGCCAGTGCATAATGATTCAGCTCTTTGCCATTGCACACAGAAGACCTGAGTTCAATTCCTTTATGACAATGTCATTTTATAGAGCATCACTGTCTGTCTCCTGGAATGCCCTTGTCCACTCAGCTCCGGGAGGCCCTGACAGGCATGGTCAAAGCAGCCAACCTCCATAATAGACAATACTACAATTATATTACTGAGACGGGTGTAAAACATTTATAATTATCATTGGCAACATTTTAGAAATTTCTCATCGTTTCTTTAAACATGACAATGCTTACCCAAGGCCTTCTATAAATTCTAAAAACTTGAGGCTTTTCTTGTTAAGATCTGTAAAAAGAAATAGAAAAACAATCACTTTGAGAACAACTTCATTTTTGCTAAAACAATTGATGAAAGAAACAGTTCAAAATGCATATATATAGTTTTTGTAACAATGATAATTTATATTTTTCACAAAAAGCTCAAAGCAATTAAAGTCAGTATCATCAGAATCTTGTTTGTGAAATCAGCATGACTTATTCTAGACTAAATAACTAAAATGTGTGGCATTGTGGTGAAATCATGCCCTCATCAAAATGATGACATTAAAGAAACCAACATTTTTCCACCCGTATGGCAATTTTTTTTCTTTATTGGGGGTGGGAAGGGAGGTTCAGAACCTTTCATGCTCGTTTGAAAACACATTTTAGCATGGATTTTAGTGAAAAACGTTCATCAAAGGCAGAAAAAATTCAAATTTGCAGTTTCCAGAGACACTCAAGCTTTGGAAGTCACTCAACTTTGGCCTTGATACTTTTACCTCTGACACCAGGCGAACCCTACCTCTTTTCATTGCAAATACTTCTATTCTACATCTGACTTCTATTCAAGAGAGATGTATACTTTGTTCATCAAAAGCAAGACATATGAATAAGCATTAAGATTATACATGTACCAATAGCTACGACAGCCTGATTTCACAGTGTCGTGACACAAATAGAGGTCACTTGTGTTTTATATTACAAAAAGGCCACGAGGCCTTGATTTATATAAATGTATTTCTGTCTTAGGAATGACAAGGGACAGACCTCAGTCCTATTTAGTTATTACTAGCACTGTCGAGACAAAAACGCTGGACACCCACAGATTCATTGATGATGAATTATAGAGTAGAGATAAACAAATTTAATGTTTTTAATTCTTAAGACCTCGTCTTCTTCAAAATTCAGTACAGTCGAGCATGGATATCGCAAACATGCCAAGGGTTGACAAATGTCTTCGAGCAAACTGTGTACTATGTAAAAATATAAGAGAGATATCAAGAAAATCAAGGGAAGTAACTGTTGCAATAAAATGATCCAAAAAGAGATCACTGCCATCATGAAAAGTACTCACTATCGACAAAAGGATTCAAGGAGGAATTGAATTGTGCATGATCCTTGTTTGGTATAGAAGTAAGAGAGAAGATGAGAACAATGCTGATGAGCATTACTAAATTCCTTTTTTTTCCCAATTCCTCAAAACTACAGCTCCTACCCCTCTTGAGTAATCACTGCCCAATCCATACTTTCACATTCAAATAACACCACACACACACACATATACACATATTTATAATTCAAACACTATATCTTTCAATGCAGCACACACTGTCTTCGACCCCACCCCATTATCCTCACATGAGACTAGATTCAAGGAAGTTCAAGCACCTTGCGCACACTACAGATAATGAGCGATGATGCCTCTGCCTCTAGATACTATCAGTGTGAGCATCACCTGAGCAGGGGCAAGCCTGTTACATACATGTAACCTGATACTCTTGATGATGATGTGAGTGTTGGTTTTCCATCATGTACACCAGGCGATTTGAATCAAGACAATTGTGAGGTAAAATTTGATTGAGCTTTTTGAGATGAGTTGCTCAATACACCTTCGCAGATGTTCAAGAAAATAGTGCTGTTAATAATATAATAAAAATATAGCAATTCAGTCAGGGAATAGCATATGTTCAGCTATCCTTCCATGAAATCGAGTTTTGCCTGTCTGAGTTATCTGTGCTCATGCAAGATCTTCCTTGCCTCAAGGTCTAAAAATTAGATTAAAATGTTACTATTCATCATTTGCAAAATTAGTTGCTAAAAAGAATTAGAGGGGTCTCTCATGATCTAGAGGTTACGGTGTTTGCTTTTAATTCAATATGTCTCGAGTCTCGGGTTCAAAACCTGACAGCAACGAAAAAATTTATTCAAAAATGTTCTCCTTTCACCTCCTTTCCTGCACGCTAACCACATTCTGTCAACGGCTTTTGTCTCCACTTTCTGCCCCTCCCCTTTGCCCCTTCCCATTGGCTCTTAACTCTTTCTGCAGAGAAGGGGAGTACAGGGAGACAAGCGAATAAATAGAGAACATCAGATGTAAGCCACTGGCCGATATTTATAGTAACAGCCATCTTGTTTGATCATAAAATAGTGTTCTTCATTCTTACAAAAGACATATAAGACAGAAGTTCCAGACCTACTGTCTCACTGTCTGATCTTAAAAAAAAAAAATGTGGAGTAAAAAAAGAAAGCTTTTTTGTTACATTTTGTTACATTTTAGCAAAGTGTTATGATAATGCTCGTTATTATGTATGTTAAAGAATAGGTCAAGCAAGGTGGCTGTTACTATAAATATCGGCCAATGGTGTACATCTGACGTTCTCTAAGTATCCGCTTGTGTACAGGGAGTTCATGGTAGAGGGAGTCTGAAGGGCTCCCCCTTTCCCCCCTCTCTCTTCCCACCTCCATGGTCCACAGTGCCGCAGTAGTCCCGTAGTGACACTGCACAACACCACAGTTTGGTACAGGAGTCCGGACTCAGTGGAGGTAGTGGGTAGTGCCTTGTCTAGATTTCTAGATCTAGATGTAGATCTAGATTAGATCTAGATGTAGCCTAGATATAGATGTAGATCTAGATCTGGATGTACAGTCAAACCTGCATTAACGGAAACCTGTACAATACGGAAACCTGTCATAACAAAATATCCCCCCTCTCCCCTTGAAACATTGTTCTTCTTTAATTACCTGTATAAAACGGAAACCTGTCCAACGCAGAAAAGGAAAGAAAAACCCGCTCCCTTCCGAGGGTTTCACCAGTCTAAGACGGAAAATGCTTTGCCTGCTCAGCCCTAATTTGAAACAAAACTCACAAATTTGGTTCCAGCGGCTCTAAACTTAACGCCATGGCCATGCCGCTGGCTGAGGAAGGGGAGTTCCGAGTAGGGGTGCAATTTGGGGGCAGATGTATGTTGCCCCATCACGTGAGCCCTGAGCAATGCAGATGGTCAGAGTGATGTGGGGGTGAAATCTCAGACTGCCCGTGAGAGTGCTCGAGTAGCGAGCTACTACAGAAACTTTCCTGGGTAGCCAGAAGCCAGAGGTGTGAAATTAGGTTGACCAATACCTGCCGCCCTTTTAACTAAAGTTGTACGGCCAGATTGGAAAAGAATTCCTTGAATCATAGTTACATGATGATGGCAGTGAGGGGTGGCATTGGTGGTTGACTGCTTGTTACATCGATGGGTGGAAGCAAAGGAGATTTCAAACGTTTCTATTTTGAATAGGTCAAACAGTGGTCCTATGAAAGGCAAGCACTGATGGTAATTAGATTATAAAAGTAAGACTGCATGTCATTTTCACAGACAGGGTGGCAATCCAGAGGTGTGAAGTGTTGACCACTGCTTGCCGATCGGACAAGCGATCCTTGATCCCACCGGCTGGGCCCTTTGAACCCCCCCCCCCCTAAATTCCCGTCTGAGATGGAAAATGTCTAGGCCTATGACGAATTTTTTTTGGGGGGGCTCCCTTGCGATTCCGTCTTACACAGGTTCGACTGTAGACTGTGACTGTACTGTACTTGCAATTAGATCTAGATATAGATATCTAGACTCTAGATAAACTAGATTCTAGATCTAAATCTAGGCCCTACTTGGACTTGATAACAGCGTATCCACCCAAAAAATATTGCTACTGGACTCAACTGTATCAACAAACTGGGCATACCCAAGCCACTCTCTGGAATGAAACATAAAACATACCGCTAGCGATCTCCCTTAGGGCGTCATCGTCAGATGTGCCTGCTACATAGTTTGCGATTTTGGTTTTCATGGAGGCTGCCATCTTTACTATTGTGTAGTTCTTCTGTTCAAGTTCCGGTTCAAAGAGCAAAATCAGAGACTATAAATCATTAATAGTCTCTGGTAAAATAGAAACGAAAGAAAGAAAGCTAAAAAAGTAGGATTTAAATCTATACGCGAGAAAATGAAAACTCGACTGGTACCGAGCGTATGAATAGAAATTTTAGTCCGAGAATTAAAAAGAAACGTTGTAGAGTGAAGTGACCACAGCCTGCTGAGTTTACGTAGATCTACTTCTCAATATTTCGATTTAGATCTATTTCATTTGCCCACTGCCCACGTGCAGATCGTACTTTTTGCACCGGAAAAATTACGTCAAAATCTGTTTTGTCCGTGAGGCTGCCTGCCCACAAAATCTAAAGGTCTGTGTGCCTGTCCGTCTCCCCTCCACCCAAAACACACACACACACACACACACACACACACACACACACACACACACACACACACACACACACACACGCACATACACATACTCTGCCCCCCCCCCCCCCCTCTCTCTCTCTCTCTCACGAAAACTCTCACACACACACACACACACACACACACACACATCCACACACACGCACACACACACACATAGACACACCCCCACATATTCGCATAGACACTCATGCGCGCATGCTCTTTGTATGTCTCGTTGTTTTTTTAAAGTGTATTTCGCGTGTATGGAGAACGTAAACTTGATCTAATCTAACCACAAAAATGATCTCTGCTAACGGCATACAATGATGGGGGTAAAGGGGGGGGGGCTAGGCGATTATATGACCGTCTAGGGGGGGGGGGGGGTAATAAGCATGATATAATACATGCATTATGGTTTTGTTGCGTCTCTTTCCGTGACTGTTGCTCTGTAAAGCAGGCGTCGACAAAAACACAAAATCATGCACATACCCTTGGTGTCGCAAGCATACTTAAGTCTCTTTGACGATAGACCTACTTTTTACACCAGAGAGAATAATTTTAAACCAGTATTTATGTTGTGCTGTTCCTATCAGGAAATCATGAAAAGGCTAGAAAATTGTTAGCCTTGACCATGAACATTAAACAGCGTTTTGGTGTTGTTCAAATGTGCATCTACAGCTTTGGGGGAGTGTAAAAATCGAACGATAACGACGACATATAAATTTAGCACAGAATTCTAGAATTCTGTGAAATTTAGAAAACTTCCACTGCCCAATTCTTTCCCACGAAGAGTGACGGAAAAAAAAAACACGTTCGTTTCCTTCGGTTGGTTTTCATGGTCTGGTAGTGGGGCGAGCACTCTTCTTGGGCCTCTTTCACACACATCGATCAAACAAAGTCCACCGTGGACTTTATGTACGGCGCCGTGTATTGAAGAAATAACCGCTACAGTCTATGGGCACGTCCCAAGGACCTTACAAACTCACCAATACCTTACTGTATACCTCCTTGGCGCGTTCATACTTATCGACCACGGCATCTGCTCGCTGTATACAGCTGCCGTACTGTCGTGGTTGTGACGGCATCACAGAATTCTACACTCATGTAGAATTCTGTGGACGGTGTATATAATAATTTCATTCCGGCACGCGCGTGCTGTTCATGGCGTGGAATATACACTGGACTCTGTGGGTGTGTTCATTACTAGTCGACGGTCAGTCATCGCCGTCACACTTCCTACACACACGCAATTTCCACCGAACACATGTTTTCGGCTCTGTTCTTATCATAGAGGACGTAGACTCAGAAGTTCTCATCACATAGTGCTGGACAGACCAGTACTTTGGGGCAAAATTCTTAAAATTTATAGGCTAAATACCGATCAGAAACGACGTCTGCATTGTTTTCAAACAATACGACAAAGGCTCCAGCTTTATCGGTCTTTGAACATTCAGGAGATGGACCCATATTGAGCTCTCCGGCATCGTTTTTCTTCTTTTGTAGATACACAGACGATATAAGCACGCCAGTTCCAAACGCCTGTCCAACATGACAGACTTGAGCAGGGGGCTCTCGTTGTCTAGAGGTACGGCGTTCGCCTCTCATTAGGTCCCAGGTTCGAAACCTGACAGGGACAGGACATTTTCTTTTTAAAAAGTTTCCTTTCACCTCCTTTCCTGCTCTTTATAGACATGTTCTGTCGTCTGCTTCTGTCTCCACTTTCTGCCCCCCCCCCCCCCCGCCCCCTTTAAAAAAAAGGGGGGGGGGGACCACTTTGCCCCCTCCTCTGGGCTCCTGATTTTTTCTGCTGCCTTTCTACTGCTGCTCCTTGGCTCCTTTTTACTAATATCTTTCATCCACACCCCTGATCTTAGGGTAGGAGAGATCTAACACTTAGCCTTCTATGACATAATGCAGTTGCGAGCGCCGTAAAACGCCCCCCCCCCCCCCACCCCAAAAAAAAGACTAGACCTAAATAAAGCCAGGTGGTGGTTTGCCGTCCAGGCGACTAATCGTAAGTCGATGTGAGTGAACACAGTACACAGGCGCTGTGTCGTTGTTTGTTTTAGTTAGGAGTTTTGCGGCGCTCGCAACTGCATAAGGTCATATATATGATGAGCGCGCGAACACAAGTTGGTAGCAGTCACAACAGTTCAATGCACGACTGGGCTCGGGTCAACAATCAGATTTTAAAATGTTAAAATGTCAGGTAAAAAATTTGAGGTGAATAAGTTATTTGTTTTTAAAATAACTTTTAAATAACATTAACAATTTTATAGCAATTTTATTCACAATTTGCCGTAAAGGCCAATGACCTTTATAAAAATAAAATCTAGGATTCTGTTGGGATCAACGATGGAAAACAGATCTAGCAATTTTTTGCGTCTAAAATATTTTCTTCGGGTCTCTCCGAAGTCTAGACAGTCGGTTAAAATCATAATGTGTCTATGGTAAAATCTGTGTCAACGGCTTCTCATCTCCCTGAAAGAGGTATTTTTATGTGTCAGGGCCGTGTGTCCGATGCATAATCGAGTAAAAATTACTTCGTCTCTTCTGGAGAGGCCTGAAGGATTTCGCGGTCCCAGTTTGGGCTTGATGTTGTAAAGTTTATTAATTTGATTTCTCCAATGAGTCTCCCACAGACTGGAGGCGTAGTTTTTTAACTTTATTTTTAAAGTCAACCTCTGGGAGAGTATTCGTCGTTGATCCCAACAGAAGGGACAAGGAGTCTTTTGCCAGGAGATCTACTTGCTCGTTTCCTCGGATGCCCACATGCGAACATGATATTTTCCCCGGTTTCAGTCAAGGCGTGTATCCTCTGTTGTAGCCTAACTATTTTTGGGTGTAGGAGTGTGTAGTTTATAAGTGATGTGATGCAAGACAGAGAGTCAGAAAGGACAAGGACCACATCGCACCGTCCGCCAAAGGCCAGGTGTCCACCCAACGCAGAAACTGACCAACCGTAGATTTTTGCGTCTCTCAGGAGGTTGATTGCTGAAATAGTGCACCAGATTTTACCATTATATAAATCAGTGGTAATTCCGTTTGGAAATGTCCACCAAAACGACACGAGTACTCCGTAATACTAATGGGAACACCGTAATGTAGCCATAGTCAAGCCTGGATCGGAAAACGGGTACAGTGAAAGTGGAAAAAATGTTTCGAGTCCTCGCCTCTGTCATTGTGAGATAGAATTTTCAAAGCGTTTAAAGCTTTCTGGCACTCCACACGAAGGGGAATGAGTATACATTTTTTGGTCAAATGTAATTCCAAGGAAATAAGCCTCGTCCTGGACGGGAATCTTTTCCCCCGAAGTGTCAAATCCAGCTGCATCACACGTCTGCCTGATCAGCAGAAGTGTACTGCAACAGCCTTTGACGGGGAAAACTTGAAACCATATTTTCGTTTACCCACTGGTTTAAAGTCTTTAGCTACGTTTTTGCTTCAACTCCCCCCCCCCCCCCCCCCCCCACACACACACAATAGATGTACATGTACCAGTAAAGAACAAATTCAAATAAGGTACATGTATAAAATTCAAACAGTTTTATTATGAAATAACATTTTTCATCTCACACATTGCACATAGTGTCAGTATACACACAGAGTTGATTTTTTTTTTTTTTTTTTGCAACAAGTACAGAACTCTGAAAACACAACAACAACAAAGTTTAGTTTTAGTTTTGGTAGAGGTTTTACAGCACTCGCAACTGCATAAGGTCATATGAGAGCCAGAAGATTAGAGGTGTCACAAGAGAGTAACATGATAAAAAAGAAGGGGAGATAAGGACAATAGATGTTTCATAGGAAAGAAGAAGCAAACTACACCAGAGCACCCGCCAACCACCCACAAAAACAACAAAAAACAAGGGCCATGCAGTAAACTTTCCATAAAGTTCATAGTGAAGCATAGTGACAGAGCCTAAGTTGCCCTTGGTAAGTCGTACATATTTTATCATGAACATGTACTCGAAAGCCAGTCCTCGATATCGCAAACACATAATGAGCAAGTAGTTCTAACATTCTTCATTTAAAACAGTCTTTTGAAGCCAAAACAAAGCAAATTTGCACAACAATTTTTCCATCAACATACAAAAAACATGGGAACCAAACACATAAAAAAATACATTTATCCCCATCATATTATTTATATATATCATGTACAAGAACCAAGACCCTTACATTAAAGCAACCTGGGGGGAAAAAAGAGCAAAATACCCCACAAGGACACATCATAAATTTTGTTTAGAGCATCCACCGTACTAGCATACCTCTCAGAGAACGACACAATTCCAGTAGTGTAACAAGACGGTGAAACAAGACAAAATCCAGATGCAATAGATCTAACATAAATCTCACACACAGGTCATAAATTTAAAAACCACATTTTTTTTCGTTTTGTTCACATGGCACAATACATACGCTAAGTCAAAGTGACATAAACTAATCTTACGATTTTGTTATCACAGCCAACCTGGGCTGAGAGGGAAATAACTCAGCAGGATAAAGACTGAAATACTCAATGAACATTCTCCCAACACAGGAATTGAACTCAGGTCTTCTGCTGGCAACAGCGAAATGCCTGACCACTACTCAACAGTCGGCATTTTTTTAAAAATCGAC